TCAATAAATTGAAATAAATAACAAGAGAAGCTTGTTATTTAAAGAAAGTCTGCTTCTCGTTATGACGAAAAAGTCCTTATTTTAAGAAAGTTCCTCATTAGAACGAGAAAATATCTCATTGTTATTAGAAAATCATTATTATGAAAAACATTGTAATTATAACAAGACATCTCATTAACATAGTCATTATTGCGAGTTTCTCATTATTATGAGAAGCTGAAAATAATGACAAAAGCTTGTTATTTTAAGACACTCAATATTATTACAAGTAAGCCATTATTATCACAAACAATTCTCATTATTGCAAGAAAATGAGTCATTTATTATGAGAAGGTAAGGTTCTCTCTATTTCAAGACACTTTCTCATTATTAGTAATTATTACAAGAAACGTTTCTCATTATTACATGAAGTCATGTATTATGAGAATATAAGCCATTTATTATAAGAAAATAAGTCCTTATTGGGCCCACATGGAAGCTGCGCACGCAGATATCTGCAGATTTTTAGCCCATAATTTATTGTTTATTTACTTGTGTGAAGGTGTGCAAATTTAAATTCATTCAGTTTTAAAGTTAATTTCAGTAATATTATTGACTAATATGAAAATATTCTTATAATTTATTTACAATACAGTTTGTAAAGTAATATTTTTAATATATAGAAGACTTGCTTTGTTTACCAAATAAAGTGGATCTAATTGGATTTGCATTGTAAACATTAAATACGAGTTAAAAAGGTATTACTTTTTAGTTCTTATATTAAGGTTTTAGCTATGATACTCCCAAATTCATTCCACATAAATCTGCAGATTTTTAACAAAATTCTGTGCAGAAATAGCAAACAAATGACCGCAGATTCCGTCTGGCCCTAGTCATAAGGCGAGAAAATCTCATGTTATCTCATATTATGAGAAGGTTTCTCATTATAATGAAAATGTTTTTAAAAAATAAGTCATTATTATGCAAACTTTTCTCAACATTAAGTTGAAATAAGTAAGAAGAGATGCTCGTTATTTTAAAAAAGTTCCTTATTATAACGAGAAAATATCTCATTGTTATTAGAAAATCATTATGAGAAAAAGAATTCTAATCATAACAAAAAATCTCGTTAATATGAGAAAATCATTATTATAAGAAAGTTTCTAATTAGGATAACTTATAACAGGAAAGAAAAAAAGTTTCTCATTATTATAACTTCCAAATTTTATTTTATAGTGGAAAAGGCCTTCCATAGTTCAAGAAAAGCACGTATAAACAATTAACAACCTCAGAGCTCTGGATTAGAAATCTGTTTTTAAATGTTTAGCACATAATGTTCTGTTGCACGGGCACACACACAAGCACACTTATATAAAGTGAAAGCATATATTTAGTAAGAGACAAGTAGTCACAATTTAAGCCTCAACTAGCATATAAAAGACCAAAATGCTCAACTAGATTATTTTTTAAATTGGATACTTTAACTTAAGTTAGCGCTATTTTAAGAGTAACGTTAATGTTTATACACAAATAATAATGAGACCAAAACATGTCCACACACACCAGTTTTAAACACAATTTAACAACATCCACCCATCATGATATTGTGTATGTATTATTTAATGATCATCATACCAGCTATACTCGCGTGTTCGGCGGCGACGCGCCCGGAGTCTCGAAGCATTTTCTTCAGCCGCTCGTTCTCGCTCTTGACGCGCTCCGTTTCCTCCTCGAACTCGCGGACCGTTTTGCCCACAGTGAAGATGATCTCCTTTACAGCCGCCATCAATCGCTCGGTCATGAAGGAGTTCAGGCGGTCCAATTTAGTCATTCTAATGCCCTATTTAACTCGTTCCAGCCAGACGACAAATAGACAAGGCGAGTAGCGAAATCAACACAAGAGGCGAGCTCGTGTAGTTCCCCCTTTAAAATCAAACCACCAACAACACAACACATCAGGCTCATTTACTCAATGGAGCATCTCTAGCGCCGCTCGCAGGACAGGAGGAGACCGTGCTGTGCAATAGTTTCTCGAGTTTACAACCTATTCTTTCTGCTTTTCCCTAAAGGATGTCCTAGACACGCATACAGTAGCTTCTTATCGCCTAGTGTGCTTTTTAAAGTAATTGTAAATAACTCGTGGAAAGAAGCAGTAAAGCAACAACAGGATCTTCGTCATTCTTCATAGTCAAATTCCACGCTAATTGCATGTTTTTGTATGAGATCATATCTTATTAGAATTATTGTGACAAAACTTACTGAAATTTCAGCTTTACCATTACAGGAATAAATCACATTTTAAAAATGTAATATGAATTTTAAAATGAATAAAAGAGTAATATTTTTAATTATTTAACATTACTGTTTTTACTGTATTTTGATCCATTAAATGCATAAAAGACTAAATGCCAGATTGTGTAATTATAAACACCAGGGACTCAACTTTGGATTGAAACAGACCTCCTTATGCTGAGTATCATGCACACACAAAAAGACAAATAAAGACCAACAGACTTAAAGTTTTGTGTTTAATCCAAACCTAGTGTCATCCTCAGTTGTTAAACAGAATATGATCTGAACTATAGACAAAATTATCAACTTGGTTAAATTATATTTACAAATCAAATAAAACAATTATGTGGTAACCTTAAAAACAACACTAAGATGTAAACAAGAATTTCCAACAGTCTGTGTCAGAGTCATTGATTTTTCCATGTCCTGCATCCGCTTCCCAGTGAAACTCTACTGCCTCTGTGTCTGAAACAAAAGCATCTTCAGTTAGGAAAAACAAAAAAGGGAAGATAATATTTTTTTTTATTTTGCATGACAGCAAGTTTAGGAAAGCCTGTTTCCCCATTTAGTAAAAAAAATCTAAAGAAACTTTCTCGTAACATTAACTTTCTCATAATGATTAACTATTTTCTCATATTAATGACAAACTTTCTTATAACATTAGCTTACTTTCACATATAGATATTTTCTCATAATGAGAATGAGGAACTTTCTCGTAGCAATGACTTGCTTCCTCATAATAATGAAATATTTTCTCATAATGATATATTATCTCAAATTAATAATAAAAACTCTCATAACAATGACTTGCTTTCTCATAATGAGAATGAGGAACTTTCTTGTAGCAAATTTGCTTTCTCATAATGAAATATTCTCTCAAAGATTTGCTTTCTCATAATAAAGACTCTCATAACAATGACTTGCTTTCTCATAATGAGATACTTTCCCATTATAATCAGAAACTCTCATAACAATGACTTGCTTTCTCATGAGATATTTTCACATAATCAAACTTTCTCCTAACATTTACCTGCTTTCTCATTATTAGAAATCATCATATTAACTAAAAAAACTCACATAACATTGACCTGCCTTCTCATAATGAGATATTTTCTCATAATCAGAAACTCTCATAACATCGACTTTCTTATAATGAGATATTTTCTCATAACATTGACTTGCTTTGTCATAATAATGAACTATTTTCTCATATTAATGACAAACTTTCTCATATCATTGACTTACGATTTTGAGAGAATATCTCATTGAGAGCTTCTCATAACATTGACTTGCTTTCTCAAAACAATGAGAAACTTTATCATAATAATCAGAAACTTTCGCGTAACATTGACTTGCTTTCTCAAAATGAGATGTTCTCATCAGAACCTCTCATAACATTGACTTACTTTCTCATAATGAGATATTTTCTCGCAATAATCAGAAACTCTCTCATAACATTGACTTTCTCATGAGATATTTTCTCATAATCAGAAACTTTCTCGTAGCGCTGTGTTCATCCCAGACGCGGAAGAAGTGTCAAGCGTGAGTGCTTTACATGTTAAGTCAATGAAGAGATGCAAATCAGGCATGTGCACACATAGGGCTCAACCTGTGCAGTGCACATGCCCTCTTTAGTCTTGGATAGAAAGTGCCCTTCAAAAATGATCTGAGGTGCCCCATGCAGCGATAATCACTTTCTCATAGCATTAACATGCGTTCACATAAATATTTTCTTATAAGGAGAAACTTTCCCATAACGATGACTTGCTTTCTCATAATAATGAAATATTTTCTCGTAATAATGAGAAATTTTCTCGTAACATCAACTGGCTTATAATAATGAGATATTTTCTCATAATTCTCATTTAAAGGAAGTCATTATGAGAAGTTTTTCATTATTATGAGATACTTTGACAATGTAAGTCATTATCACTTGCAAAAAAATATCTATATTTTTACTTAATGGCAGAAACGGACTTCCATGGCTTTACCTTGCTCTGTAGTCTGTAGTGTCTGAATGTTTTCCGCAGTGTCATCATTAACAGCATCTGCTAACCTCTCAGGAATTATTGCTGTAGGCTGTCGATAAATAAAAGTTAATTGCAATTCTCTTATCCAAATTAAGCTCCTTTGTTAAAATCTCTACCTCCAGGTTCATTTCCTCCTCCACTGATGTCTCTCCACCAGGAATTCTTCTCTTTGCCCTTTTCAGTTTTTCTTGGTCTGAGCTAGATGGTACGTCCCCTTTGACAACAAAAATAAGCGCAGTTCACACCAACTTTAATGGATCAAAATGTAAAATACAAATAGACTAGCCAGCCAAAGTATTTGTTGAATAAATTCACCATGGTATGCAAATATGTGCTTTAAAAGACGATACTTCTGGATAAAGCCCACATTACAGTGATGGCACCAGAATGGCCTCTCACCTGAGTGGAAATCCCAAAAAAAAGGGGGCTCGTATGAGAATGAGCATAAATAATGATCCTGCCTCTTATCCTGTGGATAGCTTGCTTTAGTTTTCTTCATTATCCACTGACCTGTATGGGTGTATTCATGTCTGCGCAGCGTGTACGGACTGCTGAAAGCTGCCTTACAGTGCTGGCAGACATGTACTTTTGAGTTGGCCATCTCTCCTTCACCCAGCAAGCCATCATTCGGGATTTGTGACTATACAAAAGAGAAAAAAAATAAATATTATAAATTTTTAAAAATAAAACTATTGCTAATCTTTGTTAATTATTTTTTCAATCATAACATTTTGCAGGCTGAGATACTATTAAACTCCTAGAGGTAAATGTGAAAAAAATTAATAAAGGCTGCATTCAAAAGCTTAGGCAGCTGACTTATAAGGTGGTGATTTTAGAGGCAGCATTTGTGCTAAGAGTACCTATAAAACTGATTTCTGAGACAGCATAATTTAATCGTGTACAACTAAATAGAGAGAGAGAGTTTTGGTGATAACTAAAGCAATATTTGCTTACAACTATACTAACCTACTAACTAGAACTGCCATCAAAAGTGGAAAACGTTGATCAAAATCATACAGTTGAGGTCTAAATTATTAGCCCTCCTGTGAAATTTGTTTTCTCTTTAAAACTTTCCCAAGTGATGTTTACCAAAGCAAGGTATTTCACAGGTATTTATTTGCACAGTGTTTCCTTTTTTGTTAAAGAAACTCTTATATTAGTTAGGCTGGAATAAAAGCAGTTTTTACATTTTAAAGATGAATATTATTACCCTACTTATAATTTTCTTTCCCCAATTGGCTCTAGAACAAACCACTGGTTATCCAATAACTTGCTAGTTAAATTAATGAACCTAGTTAAGCCTTTAAATTGTATTTTAGGGTGTACTCACACTAAGCTATCCGAGCCGTGCCAGGGCACGTTGGACCACCATTTTCCAATTCGTTTGAGGTGTCCAGGCGCGGTTCAGATGGCTGGCCCTGGCCCGAAAAGGTGGTCTGAAGCGCATAGGTTAGCCTTTTGCATGGTTCACTTCTAATGTGAGTGCAAAGCGTGCCTGAGTGTGAAACTGAAGACACACTGTCACCTTTAAGGGACTGTTGTGTGATACACCAATTTGTGTTTTGTCATTAATGTATCTATTTATTTATGTATATACTGTAAAAGTAATTTATTATCACTACTAATGACTGGGTTTGAAAAGAAATAACATCAACAGTTGAGAAAGCATGCGCTGTGGGTTACCATGACGATACTTGTTGTGTTTACTTCAGATGCTACTAAGCTGCTCCTGAGGAAAGACACTGACGTTTTCTTGTGATTTTGTTTCTCCTGATAATTCAGGTATGTTTCATAAAAAAAAGTCAATATGTTTATTATAATTCATGTAAAAACATGTGAGTACACATTTCCTATGTGTTTTTTTAAAGTGAATAGCTTATTTACAGTTGTTAATTGAGAGAAGTGATTCAGATGAAAGTACCAGTAAAATGACAGTTGGGCTGAGTTTATAACTGACTTCCCAGTAAATGATATGTATTTTATTCAGTATGTGATAATTGAACAGAAAGTGACTTATTATTTGTATATATTAGTTTTATATTTGTTAATGTATAAAGTTTATGAGAGTAGAGAGTAACATTGGTAATTGGTGTCAAGTGTAACTGTTACAATTTAAATGATACAAATAACAGACGCATGAATGTTCAGTGAGTTTAGAAGTCTTATGGTAAATGGTTATATACAGAGGTATTTACAAAGAAAGAAAAATGAAATAGATGATTGACAGGATTTAAAGTGTAATCTGTGTGCTACTGATAAATATACAAAAGGTATAATATTTATATGTGTTAATGAGAGTACAGAGTGTATAAGTATTTGAATACTTCATTGTTGTTAAAAAAAAAGAGAACAAAACTGTATGTTTAAAAAGATGAAACATGATTTGTGAGGATACGTTTGCTATACTATGACTGTTAATAAACAGATGCTACTAAGCTGCTCCTGAAAAAAGACACTGAAGTTTTCTTGTGATTTTGTTTCTCCTGATAATTCACGCACTTTAATCTGCCTACGAGTTCCGCGGCCGGGACCCGTAACAGTTACATATGGATTTATTAATCCTTCTTACTTTTCTATGAATGCAAACCAAAGACTATAGAATACACAAGACATGACACTAGTATAGTTTGAATGGGTAAAAGTGTAACAGTCTATATGGAAAATGAAGCTCCGCCTTCTATTACAAGAGCCAATCATTGATTGCTATAGACTGAGGATTCTCCAGGGGAGGGGCTTGGTCCAGATGTAAGTTTCTACAGATTTTGTATCATTTGAATGTTTAAAAATTAAACTAAAAACAGTTGTTATTTAATCTTACCTGGGATTCCCAATATGAAATTGAATCGCAAGCTTAACAAGCAAATCTTGGAGAATGTGATGTTTCCCCATTGCACCAAAATGCCCGAGCATACTGCCCGAGCGGCGTTTTAAAGATTGTGACTTACCTAATGCCACATTCTCACTTACAGCAAAGTTGTAGCTGCCTGACACTGTGGGTGGCAACCTGCAGCACGGAGAATACAACCGGCCTCTGAGCAAGCTGAGAGAGGATCATGTGAGCTCTACTGGTGCTCCTATTGGCTGTCGCTCATGAAAGTCACTCTTTATGAAAACTTTTCACATGTCCGTGTTTCCCAATATCATAGTCATCATAGTTGGGTAAACTTAGAGCACAGTTAATGTGAGAGTACAACAAATAATTTATTTTACAATTAAATTTGCTGTAATAGTTAAAGAAAAACTCCATGATGGAGTTATCAAGACATTCAGTAAAAGAAAAAAATTGTGTGAGGCTGATAACGGCAGCAAGACTAAATAACATAATAATAATAATATAACATAAAATTTACCATCCGGCCCATAGAGGCTGCATTAGAAACGCCTCACACAATCGGTAATTCATTTTTTGTAATTTGATGCAAAGATGACAATACATACATAAAAATATATAAATGTTCATAATGTTTTTTTATCTAAATATAATAAATTTTCAAGGATTTAAAATTATGATCACTAAATGTTATTGTGACGCATTGTGATTAAATGCATCACAACAGGCTTGTGAAAAGTGTCCTTTGCATAGAGCTGAAGGATTCAAATCTTTGTCGTGTCACTCGACATGCCCACCTGGTCGTCACCGATCGATATCGCTACCGTTGACGGAGGTCACGTGAAGTTGCTCACTCTTCATTGAAATGAATGGTCTCTTGTCGATTTGCCACTGCGAGTCACTCATAGTTTGAATAAGGGGAACTTTGATGCAAAGTTCGTTTTTTAAAGAAGCAATATATTTGACCGTCATCACACCTCAGATGACTTAATACAAAGCAATATAACTAAAGCAATCTACATTGTAGTGAGCAATTCACTTCCTAACTGAACAGTCACACCATCGATGACAAGCGTGCTCGGGCTCTGAAACTTAAACTACAGTGTGAGCCGAAGCAAAATGGGGGGAGAGGGGAGGGAGGACAAGCATGCCCGGGCATGATTCAAAGCAACCGTGCCTAGTGTGAGTACACCCTTAAGGCTGATTTATACTTCTGCATCAAGCGCACACATATGCTCTGGCGCAGCCTTCGCGTGGTCGCATAGCCCTTGCCGTGGCGCACCTCTCAAAAACTGCAACCACACATCGCAACAAAGCGTAGCGCAAGCTCTGTGATTGGTCGACTTGGTAGCGCTGACGAATAGGGGCAGGGCTGAGTGCCATGTCATGTGCCATGGGTCATGCAGATCACTCAACACAGAAGTATAAACCAGGCTTTAAGCTGAATAGTAGCAATTCGTTATTAGAAATTAGTCATTAGAAATATAAAATATTTTTTTTAAATAATTAATTTAATTGGAGGGCTAATACTTTTTATTTCAACTCAGTTTGTGATGCCATGCTTATTTTAAGCTCAACTTCCAGAAATGGAATACACAGGATTGTGAGATATCAATAGATCTATGCTGCCTTCAAAATTCCCAAGCCAGGAAGTAAAGTAGACATGCCTTGATGCCTTCCTGCTTTGAAATGCAGCATTTTAAAGCTTTAGGATGCAGCCAAAGATTAAACGGATTGATTGATGTGAAGAATTTAGCAGATTCTTTTACAACACGTTCATTTAACAGTTTTTACCTGATTTTTCCTCCTCTTCCTCCTCGTTCCAAATGTTCGGGCTTTTGGACTACTCTTGCTTGTGTCATTATTCAGAGATTGGTCACTGTGCGGTGGACTGAACTCCTCACATATATTTTTGAAAGCATCGTTTTCTGGGTGAACTCTGAAAAAGCTAGTATCCCATGTTGAAGCCTTCGAACTTTGTTTGTCGCACTCTGAGTAACTTAATTCTTCACGATTCCAGTCTGTTAATTCTGGTCCAGTGCTTGGTTTTTGAGAATTTTCCTTAATTTCAAAGCAGTCTTCGTTTACAGTAGAATCTTTGAATTGTAATATATTATCCTCTGAACTGTCAACAGATTTGCCCTTGCACTTCTCTAAATGCGTAGCAAAACTCTTCTTGTTAAATAACCCTAAACAGTAAATGCAATAAACACTATCATCAACTGGGCAGTCTGATGCAAACAACCCATATGGCTGTAATTGATTTGCATTGCGTTCAACCAAATTTGTGTTGTGCAAGGCATTTCCCCTAATTTGAAGATGCTTGAGCAGATCGTCTCTTTGCTGCGAGTTCTTGTCAAAGATGAGAGCTTCGGCCACCTTTGGCTCGTTCGGATGAACGGACTGAAGATGAGCCATCATATTATAATGTGGTTGCTTGCAGTAGAAGCAGTGGTTTATCTTGAACAACGTGGCGTTGTCATCAGTGGAAGTGGTTTGGTAATCAGGACCCTGTTGACACACAGGAGCAACAACAATTTAGAAATGAATCCTGATTTCAAACCAAAAGTCAACCCAAAAATTAAGATTTATTCATTAACCTCTGTTGAAAAAAACAAGTTGGCAATTCATGAGTTGATAACAACTGACTTCCGCAGTAAAAGGGGGAAAAACAGTAGAAAGTTCTGTCAATTGTATGATTACCAACACGCAACAGAATAAAGAATCTCCTTTTGACCTTACTCTTCATGTATGAGTGGACACAGCAATTGGAATCTTTTTGGCTTGTGACCTATACTCATTCACTACCATTGATTTTTAGATGTTGAAAACAGCTTGTGTTTGATGTTGCAATCTAATATTTTCATGTAATCTCTATTTTCTGATATTATTCTACTTTTTATGTAGTCATGAACACTTGTTCGTAGAGTAAGTAGTTTGGCCATTTTTTGCCAATTATGATTCCTAGTCACTTCTCTCAAAGGCAACTGAATCGGACGTTCTAAATCAGAGGTGCTCAACCCTGTTCCTGGAGATCTACCTTCCAGCAGATTTTAGTTGCAACCCCATATCAAACACACCTGCCTGTAATTTTCAAGTGCTGTTCATTTCCTAAATAATTGCTTCATGTGTGTTGGATCAGGGTTGGGGCTAAACTCTGTAGAAAGTTAGATCTCCAGGAACAGGGTTGAGAACCCATGTTCTAAATCAATTGCAAAAACAAGTGCACTTCCACATTGTCGAATAAGGTCAATAAGTCAGGAACATATGGGCCAAATCCCCTTTCTACCCCTTAGCCCAGGGGTGTCCAAACTCAGTCCTGGAGGGCGTGTCTCCTGCTGAGTTTACCACCAACTTCAACACACCTGCCTGGATGTTTCTAGCATATCTAGTAAGAGCTTGATTAGCTTGCTCAGGTGTGTTTGATTAGGGTTGGAGCTAAACTCTACAGGACACCGGCCCTCCAGGACAGAGTGTGGACAACCCTGCCTTAGCCCTTTCCTTCTGTTTCAGGCATTCACGTAAAGGGTTAGGGGTGTCTTGATTTCCCTTTTTGGTAGAAGTCATATGGATAGGGAGAAATGCCAGATAGCTTTTCAAATACATTTTTCCAAGGACCACAATACAATTGAAGGGGTATGAGAAATTTCCCTAAATACACCTGTTACCAACATGGCTGCCAAAGCGAGCAATGATTTTTACAATTAAACTAACATCTGTTTATTACATTATGGCATTTATATTTTACGGTCATAGTCTTATAGTAATGTTAAAAACAATTGCTAAATTCCACCAAGATATAATAACTACTGCATTATATTCTACAAATTTTAAATTCTGATACCAAATAACAGAAAAGCGGCAGGGAATATTTAGTGGAATATTTTCATGACCACCTCTTCATGTCGTGGAGTAGTAGGAATCTAAAATAGAATTGGGATTGGGCCCTAATGTCAGGATGAGTAAATGATCAAAGAATTTTCATTTTGGGGTGAACTATTTTGAGCATAACTCAATATATCAATGCTTTGTAACAGGGGTCGCCAATCTCATTCCTGGAGGTCCAGTGCCCTGCAGGGTTTAGCTCCAACTTGCCTCAACGCACCTGCCTGGGTGTTTCAAGTATACCTAGTATGACCTTGATTAGCTTGTTCAGGTGTGTTTGATTAGGGTTGGAGCTAAAATCTGCAGGACACCGGAACTCCAGGAACAAGTTTGGTGATCCCTGCTTTGTAGGGTGATTTAATAGATATTATTACTACAGTATTGTCACTTTTCTTTACATGTACAATGCTCCAGCAATAATCAGAGTAAGCAACAAAATCTTGCACTGCAAATAAATAAAAAATAAATCAAATTTAAAAAGCAAAACAACCTGAGAATGAGAACTTGAACAACTTTTCTTTGACTCCTCTTTCTCAGATGGCTGATCTGGTAGACTTGGTTTCTCTTCTGCTTTCTGGCCTCTGATATGCTTGAATCATATCAGATTCAACAGCTCAGACATTGCCATTGCCATCAGTGACCACCTCACAGGCTTCCTGAAGATCACACTCATGGATTTAAGGGTAAGATGTTTGCTCCACAGCTCTAGGTTTGACATCTTGAATTTAAGGATTTGACATTAATACTAGATCATCTGTTGGTTGATTCTCACTTTGGAGTCTGAACTCCTAAAATTTTCAGGCTGCTGGCAATGGGTCTGTTCAACGTTATAGCTGGCATCCAGAATACATTGACCTACATGTTCCAGATGCACATATAAGTCCATGAAGACATTCCTTTGAAATTTGCACCATTAAATATGCATCACCAAACAATGGTAAATTAGGATTTAAGTTGGATTTTGGGTTGTTTCAAGAAAAGCAAGGAAGCAGGTTCAAAGCTGTTCCACAAAAATAATAACCGTCAGGTTTTAGATTACGAGATACTTCTGGATCTGGTTGGTTCACAAGCTTGGGATGATTTGTTTTATAGAATACAGTTGAAGATCTCTGCAACCAGTACTGGACCTGTAAGCTCTAGAACATGTTTTTTTTTTTTTTTTTTGGCAGAAATATAACATACGTGGTTCTATTATCTCCACATTAAGATTCCTTGTACTAAAAGAAGATTCCAAATGACAAGGATTCATTGCTGCACAATGACAAAAACCAACAAAAGTTAGACAAAGCTTTTGAGCATCAAGATCATTTTGGTTTGTGCCACCGTCAGTGTCTTGACATAAGGCAAGATTAGGTCTGAAAGATTGCAGATCACAAATCTTCTGTGATGGGCTGTTACTAATAAATAAAACTTGAGGAAGATCTAACTTTGTAGTATGGTTCTTCTAGGTTCTAGGTTCCTTGCTTAAGGTCTGAAATATGGTGATTGCCCGAATCTGATTTATATAAAGAAGCACCAGTTGGCTCTCAGCTGAGAGAAGAGCCGGAGATAGCTGGAGATGAAATTCCCAATTCTGCATCAGTAGCGTCCAAGGTTTTGCTGGATGCCATTGTGCTTGCATATCAGAGCAGGTTCCTAAAATGTGTTCCATTGTTAAGATTCCTGGTTCAAAATGAAATGAACAACATCTTCATCACAAACCACGTAGAGACTCCAGGTTGCTTAAATTTCTCTTTAATGGCAAAACTGTTAATAACTCTTTACTTTCTGTATAGTCTTCTCAAAACTTAAATTTTTACAACTTCAGCTCATTTTGAGTGATCGTGCATAAGGTGAAGTAAAACTAACAATACAATGCACTCGTTTTTTTTGTCTTCCGCTGCTTACAGCAGTCGTCACTACCAGAGGATTGACAGGTTGTGAAAAAAGTAGCACTCCAAATCCTTTAGAACTATTTACAAATAACTCGCTGAAATTCACAGTTTGTACAAAACAACTCATTGTTAAACTGCCTAAAACATTGACAAAACGCAGGAAAAAAAACTGTCAAATTAAATACAAATTAAGTTTCTCCAGTTTTCACAGACGGATTAAGATCTGCCTTTGAGTCCATGTTGTACGTTACACGCTACTACTATTGCATACCCGATTGTCCACACCTAGTTTATTTTCTCCCTCATCCGCATTGACCACAGCTTTAACTTCAGACTACCATGCTTGACCAGCAAGTACCACATCTGATATTTGACCCACTATATCCTCATGGGGGTCATACTTCATTTGCCTTATCACAGTAGATGCCAACTGGTCACTGGGGAGATGCTCTGACCCTTCTTTTGACGAGATAAGAGCTCAACATCAGACTGTTTTGAGGGACTGCCGATAGACTTGGTGTGAACACATGTGGAATTGATATTCTCGATTTAGATGGAAAGTCGCTGGAAGGATTTTTGTGCAGTTCGCTGGCCATCTCTAACTGTTCATTTTAAATGCTAGGCATTTCATCGGTATCTTCACCATCCGAGATGACAACACAACTTAATTCAGAGTCAGCATCCTGCATGGCTCCGGAACTAGTTTCCTTGAACAAAGAATCTAAATTACTGGCCTCTGGCATTACAGTTAATTTCATTGACTCAATGCTATCACAATCACACGTCCAATCACAATTCTTTTTACCACATTCTGATTGGCCATTTTCACCAGCAATTACACAAGGAAAATTACGGTTTCGGTCCTCTTCTTGTCGACCAACTGAGTTTTTTGCCTCAGACTCTTGAATGGCCGCTGAGCCCCCAGAGTTGTCAAGCTTTACTTTCGATTGAGAACTAGCCAGCACAGAGACCTCTACGTTCCCAGGACTAACACTGCAACGTATTTCAGGATTGCCATCACTTGTGCTTTCCACTGGTATCGTGCAAAGATTGCCGCCCTCTGGTGTATCTTCCACCTCCATTACATCACTATCTCCATCCGTACTACCAATTTCTAGTGTATCATCTACCAATACTGAGCATGAGGTTTCTTCATGATCAATGTGCCCTGATTTTACATCACCAGGATTCAAGGTGGAATATTTGGAACCCGTTGTAATTGGTCGCAGAACAATCCTGGGTTGCAAAGTGAAGTGGCCCATGAGATCCTTGGCAAGCTCAGATTTGTTTTGTTCATCACTGTTGTTGCAGATGGCAGGCTGCTCAATAGGTGACTGAGGTAGAAGGCTGCCAGGATTGTCTTCCAGTGCAGTGTCTCCATAAGCTTCATGGCTGCTCAGATTTGTAGAAGGGTCCCCCTTCCCCTTTTCTTCACCGACGGACTGTCCAGACTCGTCCCAGTTCTTCCCCAGAGGCTGTATTGAGGGAAACCGACAATCAACCATACTTATAATGACTTCAACAGAAGAATCACCCTGATGAAATTATCTAGGAAATAATGATCAGTCTCTCCTACCTCCTCATTATAGCTTTTCTGGAGTTTGCCCTTTTTCACGTCACCATAAAAACGTTTCTTGCGCTGCCGATACGGGTATGGTTTTTCACCAGAGTGAATCTGCATATGCACCAACAGCCGCATTTCATAAGCAAAGATTTTGCCACAAAATGGGCAGGGAAGCTGCTCTTGACTTTTGTTTCTGCTTTTTGGTAATGAATCTTTGTTTGGGGATCCTTGAGGTGTCTGTTGAGGGGGTACGAAAAAGATTATTTTAATACATATTTGTGCATGGGCTAGCCTATGAAATGAGTGCCTTTACCAATAATGTATTTACATAAGATGAACTATGTATAATGTATGAAATAAATATTTAAACCCAATAGCTTGCATTGCACCTTCTCAAGCCAATGATTGAAGGTTTAGAAAGATATTATTAGCCTTGCAGTCAGTATACAAATAAAATTAATTGCTATCCACTAAAAAATCAAAACAAAAGGCACTTATTCTGATGTGCTCACTATTACTATATTTCTATGTACAAGTTTCCCACTAGTTATTTTTTAGTTTTCTATTGGTCTCGGACTTGTTTGTCCTAGAATCGGTTATTCCTTTATGATGGCCACATCCTCAGGCAGTTCTTTATTCTTTGAATCCTTTATCCTTAAAATTATATAAAACTATGAAATGTGAAGAACTTGTGCAGATCATTCTTCAGGCTAGGGTAGACACATACCGTAGTATTAGTTTTGTGATTGCTTGTCGACGTCTTGTTAAGCCTCACTTTGTCTTTCTCCTCCTTCAATCTCTTTTCTTCTTGCTCTTCTTCCAATCTTCTTGCTTCCCTTTTCCTTTTTCTTAAAACCTGCAAGTTAGCTGCGATGTGTTTCATTCTGTGATGCTTGAACTTCCGTTTCTGAAAAAATGACTCGCCACAATATAGGCATGTAAAGCTTGTCTGATTTTGAATATCTGACGTTCCTCCGTCAGATCCTGGTGTGTCTTTATGAGGACCGTTTGCGTCATCTGTAACTTTTTTAATAAGATCTGCATTGAGTTTGGACATTACCACAACTGGGCTGGAGTTTTTTCTTGACTGACATGGTTTAGCGTTGACCTTTGATGCTTCTGTTTCACCTTTTGTCTCTTCAGTGATTGCCTGTGCCTTGGTTAAGACCTTTTGTGATTCCATCGTTTCCCGTTTCACCTCCTCGGTGTCTCGCTGTGTCTCACTCGTGACCTTTTTTGATTCTTCAATTGCTACCTGACGCGATTGCTTACCGATCAATACAAAAAAGGAATGTGGGTTATTATACAGAAATAAAACAGGCATCGTCTCGGCAAGTACATTGCAACATCAACATATTTAAAAAGAAATCTCAAAACTAACCTTTGAAATCCGCATTGACCTTCGCTTCTTTCCCTTGACAAGCACTTTGTTATATTTACGCTTCTTGATGTTTACTGCCCCGTGCTGACTTCGAATGTGCGGCTCCAACCATCCTTCACGAGTAAATACTTTATTGCAAACAGGGCAGGAAAAAGTTTTCTGTGGCCTTTTCGAATTCTGCATTGCTGTTCTTTTACGCTCTATTGCTTCTTCTTTGGGAGGCTAAAAGAAACACAAAATGTTCGACCTTAAAAAGAAACATGATTTGAAAAGATCCAGACTAAATAGTGCTTCGTGTGAACGGGTACCTCAGTCTGTACTGCCAAGTCAAGATTTTCTTGGGATGAGGGTCTGTCATTTTCATGGTCCTTTATGTGCAAACGCAATGCAGATGACTTAAAGAATACTTTGCCACACCTTGGACAAGGGCACTTTTTTCTGCCTGCACATTTGTTCTTCTTCCCTGCATCACTTTTGCTTTGCTTCTGAAAGAAATGCAAGAAGAATTGACAATGAGAAGCACGGAAAGACATAACAATGTGTATGTTTAGGATTAGCATGTTTATATTGTCCCCAAAACTCAACCCTGAAGGTGGCAAATGTAGTAAACTGATACAAGATTATAATAAGTACATTAAACATACTGTAGATGCCATGGCATTACAAATTTAAATATATTGATACACACACACACACACAGTATGAAAACTGTAATATCTCTATTTATATTACCCAATTTAGGCAATCAATATGACATGCAATAGATTTTTTTTTATTTCAGAAAGTAAAACAAACAAAAATGTACCAATGAGTGTCTCCAAGCCATTGGTTTGTACTAATATGATGTTTTTTACCAGCCCCTGAAGTTAAAAATTTTGTAGATTAAATAAGATTCAAAATAAGTAGTTTATACCTAAAAGTGCCAGCGGGTCAAAATTACCTCAATAATGCTTTTATTTTTGCCATAATTTTTGTGCCACTTATGTTGTGGCATTCAATTGCCAGTGCTTCACCCATTAAAATCAAAGTCAAAAGGCAATTTATGGCTGCCGAATTAGTATTAACAACACTTATTTAGTGTCAATAAGTCTGAAGGTGGAGTGAAAGTCCTGGGTCAGATTAGAATTGTAGCCGATGACTATATCATGACTCAACATTACTTTTTGAAGACATTGAAATCAGAAGTCTAAATGGATATATTTAAGTCGAATCAACGTGCTCTGAATAATTCACTGCCATTGTGTGGCTAATTTGTAATTATGTAATCCTTAGAAATGTAATCTGATTATGACCTTTTTTGGAACACCTCGAAACACAAACGTTCAACTTTATTAAGAAACGTGAATTGAAAAGTTTATTTTGCTTTTGCGTGAAGAGATACCTTAGTCTGGACTGCCATCTCAAGATTTTCTTAAGATGAAGTCTTTTCATACTCATGGCCCCGTAAGTGGAAGCGCAATGCGGATGACTTGCTATAGAACACTCGTTCACACTTTGGACAAGGAAACTTTTTTCTGCCTGTGCGTTTCTCCTTCACTTCATCACTTTTGCTTTGATTCTGAAACAAATGCAAGTCCATTTGACAGTGAGAGAAGATTTCTGGTGGGCATGATGATTATTAATCTTAAAGTAGCTAAAATAATACACACTACACGATTATAATAAGCAAATCAAACCTTTTGAACAGATCTCGTGGTATTACAAAAAAGTATATACACTGCTCAGAAAATAAAGGGAACACTTTACAAAACTCCAAGTCAATCACACTTTTGTGAAATCAAACTACACACGCAGGAAGCAACACTGATTGACAATCAATTTCACATGCTGTTGTGCAAATGGAATGGACAACAGGTGAAAATTATAGGTAATTAGCAAGACACCCCCAATAAAGAAGTGATTCTTCAGGTGGTGACCACAGACCACTTCTCAGTTCCTATGCTTTCTAGCTGATGTTTTGGTCAATTTTAAATGCTGGCAGACCTTTTACTCTAGTGGTAGCATAAGACAGTCTACAATCCACACAAGTGGCTCAGGTAGTGCAGCTCAATGTGAGCTGTGGCAATAAGGTTTGCTGTGTCTGTCAGAGCATGGAGGCACTACCAGAAGACAGGCCAGACGAGGAGAAGGCCGTAAGAGGGCAACAACCCAGCAGCAGGACTGCAACCTCCACCTTTGTGTAAGGAGGAGCACTGCCAGAGCACTGCCAGAGCCCTGCAAAATGTCCTCTAGCAGGCCAGAAATGTTTGTGTCTGCTCAAACGGTCCGAAACAGACTCCGTGGGGATGGTATGAGGGCCTGACATCCACAGGTGGGGGTTGTGCTTACAGGCCAACACGATGCAGGACAATTGATATTTGCCAGAAAACACCAAGATAGGCAGGTTCGCCATTGGCACCCTTTCACAGATGAAAGCAGGTTCACACTGAGCACATGTGACAGAGTCTGGAGACGCTATGGACAATGTTCTGCTGCCTGCAACATCCTCCAGCATGACCAATTTACCCATAGGGTGAGTAATGGTGTGGGGTGACATTTCATTGGAGGATTGCACAGCCCTCCATGTGCTTGTCAGAGGTAGCCTGATTGCCATTAGATACCGAGATGAGATCCTCATATTTTTTTGAGACCATATGCCAGTGCGGTTGGCTTTGGGTATCTTCGAATGCAGAACAATGCTAGACCTCCTTTGGCTGGAGTGTGTCAGCAGTTCCTGCAAGATGAAGACATTAATGCTATGGACTGACCCAGACCTGAATTAAATTGAACACATCATGTCTCATTCCATCCACCAACGTTGCAACGCAGACTGTCCAGGAGTTGGTGGATGCTTTAGTCCAGATCTGGGAGAAGATTCCGTCACCAGGAGCATACCCAGGCATTGTAAGGAGGTCATACAGGCATGTGGAGGCCACACACACTACTGAGCCTCATTTTGACTTGTTTTAAGGAGATTACATCAAAGTTGGATCAGCCTGTTGTGTTTTTCCTTCATTTTTGAGTTTGACTCCATATCCAGACCACCATGGGTTAATCAATTTGATTTCCATTGATAATTTTTGTGTGATTTTTGTTGTCAGCACATTCAACTATGTTAAGAACAGTATTTATTAAGAATATTTCCTTCATTCAGATCAAGGATGTGTTGATTTAGTGTTCTCTCTATTTTTTGAGCAGTGTATATACAGGTGCTGGTCATATAATTAGAATATCTTCAAAAAAATAATTTCACTAATTCTATTCAAGAAGTGAAACCTGTATAATGTATACATTCATTCTACACAGACTGATATATTTCAAGTGTTTGATTCTTTTAATTTTAATGATTTTGATGACAACTAATGAAAACACAAAATTCAGTATCTCAGGAAACTAGAATATTGTGAAAAGGTTCAGTACTGAAAACACCTGGTGCCACACTCCAATCAGCTAATTAACCCAAAACACTTGCAAAGACCTTTAAATGGTCTTTCAGTCTAGTTCTGTAGGCTACACAGTCATGGGGAAGACAAGTCACAAAAGGTCATTGCAAAAGAGGCTGGCTGTTTACAGAGCTCTGTGTCCAAGCATGTTAATAGCGACGTAAGGGAAGGAAAAATGTGGTAGAAAAAAAAGGGTTCAAGCAATAGGGATAACCCCACCCTGAAGAGAATTGTGAAAAAACCCATTCAAGAATGTGGGGGGGAATTCACAAAGAGTGGACTGCAGCTGGAGTCAGTGCTTCAAAAACCACTAATGCTGCGTTCACACTAGACGCAGAACACGCGGCAAGCACGAGCGATTTACATGTTAAGTCAATGCAAACGCGTAAATTTAGTGTTTTGCACGAATCGCTCGACTTCGACAATCTGAACTTCAGCGGACATTCGCGCCGCGTTAACCAATCAGGAGCTTGCTCTTGTGGGGACGTGATTGTGACGTATCGCCTGTTGTGGGTGTCCCAGGGGAAATCCTCCAGCCGCACACAGACAAGAAGTTCAAAATGCCGTTAAGTTATGAAGCTAGAGTCACCGGGCAGACAGAAGCCCTGCCCATGACGCGAATCTGCGTCTGTTCTGAAGTGAATTTGACCTGCGAATGAAGCGGATTTGACACGTGAATGAAGCGGGGTTTGACGCGCGAGTGAACTCAAATGTTCACGCGGCTATTTACGCGCGATTTATCCGGACGTTCCGCGTCTGGTGTGAACACAGCATAAGACATGGGTTTGAGCTGTCACATTGCTTGCGTCAAGCCACTCCTGAACAAAAGACTGGACTGCTGCTGAGTGGTCCAAAGTTTTGTTCTCTGATAAAAGTTAATTTTGCATTTTCTTTGGAAATCAGGGTCCCAGAGTCTGGAGGAAGAGAGAAGAGGCAGATAATCCACGTTGCTTGAGGACAAGTGTAAAATTTTCACAGTCAGTGATGGTTTGGGGTGCCATGTCATTTGCACAGTGCCAAAGCTACAAGTACCTGGTTTAAGGACCATAGTAGCCCTGTTCTTAATTGGCCCGCAAACTCACCTGACCTTAATTCCATAAAAAATCTATGGGGTATTGTGAAGAGGAATATGCGATATGCCAGACCCAACAATGCAAAAGAGCCAATTTGCTGGAATAATTCAGCCAAAAGAAGCCCCAACTAAGCCTTAAGTGCTGTGCATGCATTTTCATGTTCATACTTTTCAGTTGGCCAACATTTCTGAAAATCCTTTTTTTTGTATTGGTTTTAATTGATATTCTAATTTTTTAAGTTACTGAATTTTGGATTTACATCAGTTGTCATCAAAATTAAACGAAATAAACACTTGAAATATATCAGTCTGTGTGGAATGACAGTAAACAAGTTTCACTTCTTGAATAAAATTAGTAAAAAATATATATTTTTAAAGATATTATAATGATATGACAAGCATGTGTATATTAATTTAAAAATTTTTCCTGAATGTTTAATGGAAAAAAAGCTT